TAAGATAAATATTGAATCAGGAAGACCAGAGGCAAATTTTTAGGAACTGCCATTCATAAGTTCTGAAAGTAATAAATGGAAAGAATTGAGAGAATGAGATTATCAAAGAGCCAAAAGGGAAAAAAGTCTGCTGAAGAAAAGCTCAAATCTGCAAATTGAAAGAGACCAATTGGGCAAGAATAATGAAAAACTATATTCTCATAAAATTTCTGAATTCCAAGGAGAAAGAGAAAATCCCAAAAGCTTGATGTGGGAAGCATGGGACACACATCGCTGGAAAGGAATTTATAACCAAATGAGCCTGTGATCCGCATCTGAAACACCAGTGCTGGATCACAGCATCCAGAAAGAAAATTATTTTGGACCCAGAAATCTAGACTCCATTAACCTATCCTTTAATTATTTTAAATTCAGAATTCTCAATTAATCTACAATTAAATTATGAGAGCAAATGCAAGATATATTTGGAGATGCAAAATTTGAAAGTTTATCATCCAGACATACTTTCTGAAAGAGATACTTAAAGATGTATCAGAAAAAGATGAAGAAAGAGGAAAAGGGGAAGGAAGAGACCACACACACACACACACACACACACACACACACACAACCAGCCGCAAGCAAAGAAACCAATACAACCTATAGCTAAGTTCCAGTGTAAAATAGCTGAGTAAAGTATATTTTGAAGATTGCACTGTTTGCCAAGGTCAATAATATGGGTCTTCGCCGTCAGCTAGTATTTACTAAGGAAAGTCTAGGTTAACCAGCCTTCACAGCTGTTGTGGGATTCCTCAGCAATTGTGTCGGTCATTGCTGAGTGTGCCCCATTTCTCCTCTGGCCTGTGGGTAGCGGCAAGGGTCCCTGAGTTGTTTGTGGGTCCGGAAATGGGCTGTCAGCAAGGCTTCCTTTTAGAGTTTGTGGAACAAACAGGCCAACAGCTGAGGTTTCCTCAAGTGAGTCAAGTGACTGTGTGTGTGTGTGTGTGTGTGTGTGTGTGTGTGTGTGTGTGTGTGTGTGTTTGTGTGACAAACTGGATGACAGAGCCTTAGTCTCACTTGGTGTTCCCACCTCCTGGGGTAAGGGAGAGAACTGTGCTAGCTGCTCGCTGAACCTGAGTCTGTTGGAGTGTCTGAAATTTGCTCCCAAATCCAAATCTTTTGTTCTTCCAGTTTCTGCTGGTGGGAGCAGAGGGTGTCTGTGAGGAGGGAAGGCATTACTGAGGAAGTGGGGAGGGCTGAGGGTCTTTCCTGCTTTACTGAGCTGCCACTTCCTATCCATGTTTGCTTTACTTTGCTGAGAACACTGGTGTTTTGGGTGGGCTAAATGTGGATAGCACTGCTTGTAGCACAGCCAAGAATATATCTGCTACCCAAGTTCTGCAAACGAACTCCAGGCAGGAGAGGCATGTTAGAAAAGGCCACACATGTCAGGGAGTCACTGAGCATCTAAGAGTGAGAAGCACACCTTCACTTGACTTAGAGACGGTGGTCAGTGGGGTCTTTCTCTGTGGAGACAGGTCCTTAGGCCAGTGTGGATAAATCTGCTCGAGATGAAGATTCCATTGTGGGTCAATGTGGTCCTTTTATGTCAACCAGGGAACAAATGTGTGTGAGTATGGAGTGGCATATTACACAGAGAGATTCACTTTTATCAAACCCACAGTTTTTCAACCAACATGATTCAAAGGCTTAAAACATTTTTCCCCCGACTTTAAAACACTTTTTATTATGTTTTCAAGGGTTTCAAACATTTACATCATTCCTCTTAATGCAAACTTCAAGCCATGAGTTCAATGCCAGAGCATATCAAATTCATCACAATGAGATATGCAAGCCATTCCTAAAATACCCACATATTATAGAAGCGATTTATTTACAATTGGTAAGCCTGCTGGTAGTATTCTCAAGCCGTCCTCTGGGAAAAGCTGTACATCATTTCTGGTCAGGAGTGCAATGACCTGCTAGGGATTTTGCCAGGAAAGTTCCAGGGTATTTGGTATCCAGATCTCTTGTTCCCTTTTTCTTCCCGCCTTATATCCACGTGGGAACAACCCCACACTTTACATTGTAAGCAGGCACAGAAGGGCCGCCTGGGGGGAAAGCCTGAATATCCGGGCTGGTGTTTCCCTTCCTCTTACCCTTCCTCTCCCTCCCCACCCCTGGTTGCCTCACAGCCCACCAAGGGCTCTCTGAGGATCTCTCCACTTAGTCTCAGGGGTTGGGGGATGGGACTTTCCAAGGGAACTTTCCTTGTAATTCTGATTGGCCAGGATCCAAAACTGTTTTTGGAAAGTCCTATATATTAGTGCCAGTGTGGTAAAAATTAAAATTGGCACCTAACTTTTTTTGTCGTTGTTGTTGATTTTTTTATTTTATTATTATTGTTATTATTATTATTATTTTTTTTTACCATTTAAGTATTTTTAAGTGTACAGTTTAGTGGCATTAAGTAAATTCACATTATTTTGTAGCCATCGACACCATCCATCCCCAGGATTCTTTTCATCTGGCAAAACTGAAACTCTCACCCTGACTGGTTTGGCTCAGTGGATAGAGCGAAGGCCTGTAGACTGAAGGCTCGATTCTGGTCAGGGTCATGTACCTTGGTTGCAGGCACATCCCCAGTGGGAGGTGTGCAGGAGGCAGCTGATGGATGTTTCTCTCGCATCGATATTTCTAACTCTCTATCCCTTTCCCTTCCTCCCTGCAAAAAATAAATACCATATATATTTAAAACTGAAACTCTCTACTCATTCTCCTCTCTCTCCAGCCCCTGGCAACCTTCCCTCTACTTTCTGTCTATGAATTTGACTACTCTAAGTACCTCAAATGAGTATATATATTCCGTTAGGAATGATAAAGTAAATTAGCCAATAGATGGAAAATTGATCAACTGGTTAATACTATATAGGACACAATCTAATTATGAGACTCATCTTATTTTTACCTGGCAGAACTAATTTATATCTCTATTTGAAAAGATGAATTTGCATGGCTACGGACAAGAAACTTTTGTGTTATCATCAACTTTCCGCACGTTAACTTCTACCTATTTTATAACTTTATAAAATAGCCTCATCCACAGAAAGTCCATCCAAGGCACTCAGCCCTATAGAATCTGCTAACTTCCAGAAAAGCTTCTAGACAACACCCAGCACCCACTGAAAGACACGCAAATAACCTCGTTTGCCCACTGTCTCTTCTAAATTTTGGACAATTTTAATCTAACATTACCACTTAATATGCACACTCACAACTACATTCAAATTTATTTATTCTGCAGGAGGGCATGACAGGAAAGAAGAGACATAGGTTGGTTTACAAATTTATTAAATTAGTGTATTTTTTTGTTGTTGAAAATAATTACATGATTTCAAGTTCATGGAGAACTGAGTTTAACAAAAAAATTGTCTAAATAACAGGACACAGGCTATCATACAGGCACTGCCCGTCTCTTACCCCTCCAAGCAGGCTCTTATCTTCGCTGAACAACTGCAACAAAATAATGAATAAGAAAGCCTGCTACAAAGGAGGCCAGGAAGTTTATTTTTAACTACCTCTTTTGAAGGCTGCACAACAAGTTTAGCCCTTATATGGATGGGTGTGTTCACGGGTGGTTAGATTTAGATCAGCCTCACAGTAGAGAGAGAGAGAAAGCAAGTGAGGATATGGGTGAAGTAGTGGGGTGTACAATTCTATAATACATCTTCTACGTATTGTATTTTGTGTTCACCACTCCACCCATCACCATTGCTCTTGAAGAGACCCACAGACATCACAAGTCCAAAGCCTTCAAAATGGAACTTATTTCTTCTCCCCCTGTGGCCTCTCCTCACCCCGACTTATAACAACGCCTTTTGGATCTGTCTCAGTGACTCCCACCGTCATCAACGCAGTTGCCCAAACCAGAAATGGAGATGACACCTGCTCTTCCTCTTTCCTTCTCCTCCACTCTTACTGCTCGTAAAATCCAGTGCACAACACTCACTACCATCTCAGTGGCCACTTCTCTCCCTGCTCGAGGCCAGTGCCTGCTCCTAGGAGCCTGGACCTGGTTTCCTGCGGCCGGGCCAGGCTAGACTCCCTGCCTGCCCATCCCCAATCCCGACCCTGCAGAGCAGACTCTGGGAGGCCTTCCTGAAGACGCCACTCAGCTTAAAATCGAGTCACAGCGTCTTGGCAACCCCCTTCACGTGGCTTATGAGGTCTTAAGTTGTTTGCATCTGGAAGAATATTCTGTCTCCGTCTCTGCATGTGCCTTTCTCACCTGCTTAGTTTCCGCTCCCACGTTTCCCTCATCCTCAGGGGTTTAGCTTACTTCCCGGAGCAAAAGGATCCCCTGCCAGGCCCTCTCCCACCACCACCCTGTCGCCCTCTAAGGCCTTGTCACCTGCTCAGCGCTGTGACCGCTAACTCGCCGGGGCCAGCGGCTTCTCGCCCTTGGTTGTGCGTTGGCACCACACACTCTCGCCCTTGAGCTCCAGCCGCTCAACCGGCCTCCCACTTCCCACAAGATTCCTGCTCCTTCTGGTCCTTAAACTCCCTGTGCCACCCCGGGGTGCCCCCCCTGAGCCCCCCACCGGCTGGGATGCGCGGTGGCCGTTCCCTCGGGCACAGTCGGGACCCTCCGCGCCGCTGTGCCTCTCTTAGGGGGTCTCTGCCCCGAGCTGCTCCCACTTTGGGGACCTGCTCGCCCCCTTTGGGGACCTGCTCGCCCCGAGGGCCGGCCCCCGGCTCTGCCCCTGCGTGTCCACGGGACCACCGCGCGCCGGGCCGGTGCACGGAGGACAGGAGCGAGTGAACGAACGAATGAATGAATGAAGGAGCGTCCGCGGAGGGCGCAGGGCGCAGGCCGGGCCGCCGCCCCGGGACCCCGCGGCTCCCCGCTCCGCCGCGCCGGCCGGAAGCAGCCGGGCGGCCCCCTCCCCGCGGCGCCGCCGCCTTATCTCGGCGGCTCCGGCCCAGGAGGAGACGCGGGCGCCGGGAGGGACGCGGCGGCCATGGGCCCGGGGCCCCGGGGCGCGGGCCACCCGCCTCGCCGCCGGCGGTCGCTGCTGCCGCTGCTGCTGCTGTTGCTCGGCCTGGCCCGCGGCGCGGCCGGAGCGCGGGGCGCGGACGGTGAGTGGGGCCGGGGCGGCCGCTGGGGGCCCCCGGGGCGCCGGCGGGGCCTCCGCGAGGCCCGTTCCCCGCCCCTGGGCCGGGCCGCGCGGGCTGGGCCGGGGCGCAGGTGGGGCTGCCCGGGCCGTTGGGGATCGGGAAGGCGGGGCTCGAAGAAGCGGGAGGGGCTCCCCGCCCGGCCTTCCCGCCCCGTCCCGGAGCCGCTGGGGAGACGGACCAGTTTGGAGAGGGCCTGGCCCGCGCCCCCGGGGGCGGAGGGGCGCTGGGGGCCGGGTGGCGGCGGCGCCCCAGGGTGAGCCGCCCGGCCGGGGAGGGCGTCCTGGCTTCGCTGTCACGCTGCTGGCTCTGCGGTAGCTTTTGCACGACAAAACCCTTCAAAGCGATTTTCTTTCTACCTTTTAATTTTTTCACCGTGATGATGAGGTTAAGTCGCTCATAGGGTGAAAATAAAGTATAAAGTTTACAGGAAGAAAGTACTCATTCATTCATTCATTCATTCAACAGATGGCCTTTGTTTCTCTGCAGACAGACACAGGGTGTGAGGAGGCCTCTATGCTTGGACCTCAACGAGTTCGTCACCTGCAGGTGCCAGACAAGCAAAGAGTCCATTTCCAGGCCATTGGAGTAGTTCCCCTCCACCGCCACCTTCAAACGCAGTGATGCGTTCAGACCTGTAGGGGAGAGGGCATTGACCCAAACAGCTGTAAGAGGAGGCAGATGCCATAGGTGCTTTGAGAAGGTGGGGGTGGTCAGAGGAGGGAGGGATCGCTTCTAGCTGAGGAATCCTGGTGTCATGGGTGAGGTGACCCGTTAACCAGGCCTTCAAGGATTGCTGGTTAGTTGGATAAGAGAAGATGAGAGAAATGCATCCCAGCTCATGGCAGAGGGCACAGTGGGCACTCCACAAGTATGTATAGAAAGATGGACTCCAGACAGAGGGGCAGGGACAGGATCTGCAGTTCCATTGGTTTGCAGGGGATGGCGGGGAAGTGGGATGGAAAGGCAGTCTGGATGGAGCCAGAAGGCAGAGTGCCTTACCTGGCAGGCCACGGCCTTTAGGCCTAGTTACTCCCTGGCAGTGGGGAGCCATTGGAAGTCACTGCAGGAGTCTGGACAGAGTGATAGAAAACGTGGCTACAAGGAAACCCTCTAACAACCTTAATAAAACCCAACACTGATCCTGACATGGGAGGAACGTCTATGTAAGGAAAAAGGGGGGCGCTTTGCAGCTCAGACTCTTGTCTCTTTCAAGTTTTCTTTATTTGGGACTTTGACCATCACTGGTGGGCATTTCTCTTTGATGGCTCAGCCTTCTGAAGTGGCCATTTTTGTACATCAGGTGCGCTGGTAGGCTTTCTAAGTTCCTTCCCTGACGTTGTCTCCCGTGGCAGAGTGCGTAAAAAGCTTGTAGATCCTTGGAGCCTATTTCAAAATAATCTCCTTTTTCTTTGGTATAATTTTTAATTGAATTTGTTGGAGTGACGTTAGTTAAAATTATATAGGTGTCATCTACATATTGCATTCTGTGTTCACCACTCCATCCATCACCATTTATCTTTCCTTTATTTTCTTCTATGTCCTTCCGTTTCCCCCTCCTCCTGTTAGAATCTTTGTATTAAGACTCTCTAGACTAGCAAACTGTCCAATGTAGTCTCATCGAATTGTTGGGCTAAGATGGCTGAAGAAAGTAACTTTCTCAGGTCATCCTCTGCAAGTACTTAAAGGCTGTGGGATGGATTTTGGGGAGTAGAAGTCAAGGTTGTTTGATTGAACCTTCTCTCCTTATGTAGGCATTTTCCCTTCATTTACCACCTTGGAGAGTCTGACTCTATTAAGAGCAGATTTCTTTATAAAGGACAAAGTGGGGAATGCCTGGAGCCATGGAGGAAGTTGTTGCAGTATCTGGCCTAGAAATTCTAAGGACTAACTTCTCGGTGGGACAGCAGGAGAAGAGGACTGAATGTAGATGGGAAGGGGGAAGTGGATCCAGAAGGACTTACTGCAGACATGAAGGAACAAGGGAGCAGAAGATGAAAGATGACAGTAAGGGTTGGGGACTGGGTGATTTGGATCTGTGGTTCTCTAGGAGGAGCAAAAAGATTTGGGAAGAGAGATGACCAGTTGTTTTATTATATATGTACTAGGAGCCCAGCCTTGATTTGAAATCAGGTGGTGCCATCCACCCTCGAGTTGCCAGTCTAGCCCTGCCTCACTCCCTGGGCCCCACAGCAGCCGTGGCTGCTGCTGATTAGGCCCTCTCCCAGCGCAGGTGTGTGGAGGCCCCTGCCGCCCCACACTCAACGCTGTGTGTGCAACCTCATCCTGTCTGGTTGAGCCATTAAAGCATCCGCTTAATTAGCATATTTCTTTATATATATATATATATATATATATATATATATATATATATTTAATTTATTGATTTTTTACAGAGAGGAAGGGATAGAGAGTTAGAAACATTGATGAGAGAGAAACATCTATCAGCCGCCTCCTGCACACCCCCTACTGGGGATGTGCCTGTAACCAAGGAACATGTCTTTGACTGGAATCGAACCTGGGACCCTTCAGTCCATAGGCCGACTCTCTATCCACTGAGCCAAATTGGTTAGGGCTGTATTTTTAAATATGACAGTTTATTATCTCACTTAAGTTTGGAAGCTGTGTAGTTCCGGGCTTGATTAAGTTAAATAAGCAATGCCATCATCAGGTTCCTCCAGTTTTCATGTCTAGCTGACTAGTTGTTTTAGATAACCTGGACTGGAGGTGAGGTTAGGGCTTTTGGATTAAATCAGAAGACTGATAGGAGATGTCTGCAAATAATGTAGACTTGATGGTCACTTGGAGCCTGTGGTTGATAAGACTTAGAGGACCAAGGACAGATTTTGGGGGGAGATCAAATTTAGGTGGTAGATGACCATAGAGGAGAAAGAGCAGCAGCTACAGAGGTAGGAGGAAGGCTGGGTTAGCAGAGCATCAAGGAAACCAGGGGAGGAAATTCTAAGGAGCTGGAGATGGAGAAGAAAAGGGCTTTGGATTTGGTGACTCAGGTCTGAGGAGAGCCAGCTCCAGCAGAGCAGTGAGGGTGCGAGTCAGATACAAAGGGCTCTAGAGCAATGATTTCTAACCCACAAGACTTTTTAAAACATGCAATACCTGACTATTTAGTCAGGGGCACTGACCTCTTTTCCCTTAAATTGTCCAATAAAAAAAATGACAACGGCCAACATGACAGTAGCCATTTGGTTGGAGTGAATCAAAATTATGCCTAATTTTTGGGGTCAGATTGGCCAAAAATATATTTTTTGGTGTGCTGCAGAATTTTAGTAATTAGTTTATCTGTGCCATAAGACGAGAAAGGTTGGAAATCCTGCTGTAGAGGGTATGGAGACTTTGCTGCAGAGTGCATGCTCTTTAAAGAAGGGAAGGAAAACGGAAGGTAGCATTTAATAGGGCTGGCCAGGTCAAATCAACAATGTTTTTGGTGGGTAAAGCAGACCCAGAACATTTTAGACTCAGGGGCATTCTTTAGTAGAAAGGAAGAAAATAAAGATGCAGAAATAAATAAGGTGTTCTCTAGAGCAGATCAATAGACGACGTGAGTCTATGAGTGAGAAAGCTTAGTTTCCGGAAGGGGACAGAAGAAGAGCGGAGAACCGCTTGTCCCTCCCCCCACAGCTGTCTCCTCAGTGCGTCTATTCCTATTTCCAAACCAGCCCCGCTGTCCTGACTCCCCGGAAGCCCCCTGGCGTTCTGTGGCCCCTCTTGCAGTACCAGCAGCACCATGCCCATGCCTCCGTACCATGTTTGTATGGGACACACACTATTTCTATGGTTCTCTATACACGTACACCAGGGTAACTGTTAACTAGACTGAGAGCTCCTTGTGAGTAGGGGCTGTGGCTTGTGTTAGGAACCTGGTATGGGACTAATTGAAGACCATCCAAATGAGAAAAGGCACAGCGATCTAGTCAGAGCTTACGATAGCAAGAGAATCAGCCGCCATCACCTTTGTCAGAGACCCAAAGGCAGGCCGGGGAGTGGAACAAAGAGGAGGTAGGTCTTCAGGGGTGCCCTCGTTGGATGTTGACCTGGGGAAGCTGGAGGCAGCTTGTTGCTGAGACAGGCTGGGAAGCCAGAATAGGGAAACTACGCTCCTGGGATCCAGGTAGTTAAACAGCAGTTTGCATCCATCTAGTATAGTGATCGGCAAACCATGGCTCTCGAGCCACATGTGGCTCTTTGGCCCCTTGAGTGAGGCTCTTCCACAAAATACCACGGCCTGGGAGAGTCTATTTTGAAGAAGTGGCGTTAGAAGAAGTTTAAGTTTAAAAAATTTGGCTCTCCAAAGAAATTTCAATCGTTGTACTGTTGATATTTGGCTCTGCGGACCAATGAGTTTGCCGACCACTGGGCTAGGAAATCCCACCTTCCCTGACGTAAGGACACTTAAGAGGAAATGGTTTGCATTTCTCCCCAACCACAGGGTAAATAGCTAAATCACCCTGCTCAGGGAGGGAGAGAGCAAGATCCAGTCATTGCCATCTGTCAGTCACACCCAATGAAGGTAAGAGAATAAATCTCACTTTGGTACATCCGCATAAAACTGAGGAATGTTCTATTGAGATCCTCCTCTAAAACTTTCCTCAAACTCCCAGCCTTTAAAATCCTCAAAACCAAGGTCCCAGAACATGCTCTCCCTCCCACACCTCCTGAACACTCAAGGGCCCCATGAGGCTTGCAACCAGGGCAGCTTGCAATGGATGGGGCAGTTTGTCACAAGCAAGGCCTCCCCACCCCCTGAACTTGTTCCAAAGCCCCCTTTTCTCTGACTTCTTTGTCTGACTTCTCATTTCCCCACCTAGTCCCTCCTGTGATCCTAGCCCTTCCTTGATTCGCTGTAGTAAACACCAGCTTTAGTAAACACCCTCTAAAACCCACCCACCTGGACTCATGGAAATTTCCCTACACAAAACCAAGGATCCACACGCTACCTGCTGGCC